GATTCGAACTTTCTACGGGTACAAACGAGTTTCACTTTCCACTTGCCGCCTCAGTCGATTTGACCAAAGAAAGCGGGAAAAAAATAATATAAAGAAATGAAAAGAGAGCCCCAATAAAGATTATGCAAAATGGGAATGGGAATGGAATTGATATCGCTCATCGAAGTTGCGCAACGGAATTCGATTTACATATGTAAGAAATCTGTCCATTTACGTTTTCATTTCAATCTCTCCATCTTAACGCGGTCTTAATAACCATTTGAAGTCGTTATTAATCGCAATTACCATAACCATATGTCAGTTCTCTGTCACATGACTCTCGGCTCTCGGGGGTGGTGTTACTTATTTTTTCGTTTAGGGGGGGGATTGTCTGGGCAAGGTGCCAAAACCGGTTACTGCCCACAAATAATTTTTTGCTGTCATCATCGACTCAATAAGCACCGCTAACCAAACGGGCCAACAAGTTGGAAAAAACTCAGAAAATAGTCGTAAAAAAAAAACTGGGTAAAGAAAAATGTACTTTTGTGGTAATAGGTTAGGTCGTTGGCTTGTCCCAAACAGATACAGATGAATAGATTCGAATGCTCAGATACAATTTTTTAGCTACACTTATACAATAATTGGCACCTTAAATCTTTAAAACTTACATTTTAATTCAAACCTTAAAATCATTATAAATTAAATTGTTTATATATGAATGTAAGTGACCTTTAGGCTTGCTGAGTTAATCCTTCAGCACCAACAGTAAATTTATAAATTTACTGTAAGTGTTTTTAACGAGATAACATTTTTAGTAAAATTATGAATTTAATAACAATTTAAAGAATGATGTTTTTCACTTCTCTATTTTCATTTTTAAATGGTTAGAGTGGGCCAAATATTTTTAAATACACTTTGCACTGAAACTTCATATATGCCCACTGTTTATTTCTAAGAAAATAAATATATATTTTATAAATGTATGTTGTTTTCCTATTGTTGGGTTCAGTTTTTTATGAGTGTACTGAGCTACAGATACATGTCATTAAACCGGGCGGCCTCAACACTGGCACAAGGCAAGGGGTCCGACTATAAAAAAGTCTTCTTGGGGCACACTGATCTCTAGACTTCTCCTTCTACTTCTCCTTCCCACCAACCCGTGCCATGGCACATTTCCACATTTCTTTCGCCATTTCTCCTTTTCCTCCCCTTTCTCTTTTCTGGCTTTTCGCCGGCGGGCGCATTGCTGTTGCCAATTTCTACAAGTTTTTTCACAATTGTTCTGCGTCTGTTATTTGTTCTCAGTATAAGTAGACAATGTACATAGTTGATACTCGTATATACTTAGATACTATTTTACTTGTTTCAAACCTTCTCTAGCCTGTGATTTATGTAGGGTAAAAATGGGGACTTAAGCTACTAAATCATTTTTGGGAAGCTGGGGAATACAATTGGGATTTAAAAGGGATTTAAAAGGAGATTTTTTTTCATTACCTAGTTATATTTATTTTATTAAATAATAAATAAGAATATCTACGTAAGAGTGTGTATAAACATTAAAGTTCAAGAAATTGTATCTTTAAGTTTCTCTGGGCAATCTCTACTTTTTCTTTTGCAGCACTAAGAGCTAATCAAAATGAATGGATGCCTAAAAAGATGAATGCGCAGTGATTAATTAAAGCATAGTAACTGAGTGATTAATGAATAAAGCAATTACTGTAGAGTATCCGCCATGTCGAATTGGCTTACTAGACTTGTTGCACGGCTTTGTGGGTCTCTCTTGCAACTGCCACTGTCTGCCACTGTGCATTCCTGGCAAACTGGGCCAACGTCTGCTTATGGCCAAATGCGAATGAACATGCCCCACATTCCCCCTTCCCCTTCACCTTCCCCCACCGATGTGCACTTAACTTTTGTTTGTTTGCACTTCGCTGAACGTTCCGTTTCATTTCATTAGATTGCAGTTGGAATCCCTGCTCCGATCCCAAACAGCTGTGCGATGTTGTCATCTGTTTCAGCCATCCTACGACCCACATCCTACGCCTAAATCTGCACATAAAACCCACCAAAACAAGACATTTTCCACTGTGGTCGAGGTCGTTGCTGTTTTTTATTTCTATTTCTCTTACTGTTGCCGTTGCCAGACAGCCAAACTGGTTAACCGACAGTTACCCTAAAGTTAAGCCCACGTTTAACTGCAGGTTTGAAAGGAGTGCACTCAACAAAATTATGTTAATTTATGCTAAAAGCCCACTGGAGAAATTATTATACATCGTAGGTGGTTTTGATTTGAATAAGTGAAATAATCAGTTTATGTTTTAAGACATTTAAGTTATCATTGATTAAAAAAGTATAATTTTTTTATGTTTCCCTTACAATTTGCTTTCTGTGTGACTAGCATGGTATTATATATCTGACTAACATTGATTGCCCGATTAACCTTTTCGTGGTTACACGTTTATTAGCCCCATCTCAAAGCTCTTTTGACCCATTTTTGGACTGTGGTCGAGATCCCCCGCGTAGAAAAGTCAAACGCACATGTTGCATGGGTGGTTGCTATCGAAATAGGTACACACAAATGTATATAGACAAGTCTAGGCGTACAAATATGATTTTTGGCAAGAGATCGGGAGAGGAAAAAAAAAAGAGAAGGCAGGTTAGAGCGACGTCAGTTCTTAAATAAATGACAAAATCTGCAGAGACAGACGTTTCACATATACAGGCTATATGTACGCGCCTCTAAATATATACATATGAGACCAAAAATTATTTGGTGACGCAAACATTACACATGGCCAACAAAATACTGAAAAGAAAACCTCAAAACGGAAATGACCGGCCACAATTGTCCTTGTTTCGTTTACCTCATGAAATTGATAAGAATTCCAGCCATAGCAACAGAAGAATCACAATATCTACTTTCTATACCGCTTACAGTTCGCCTCTTTGATAATAACTTTTCATAAGACAATCTATAGCTGAATGCGATTGACTCAGCTATCCACCCACTTAAGTCACCGACTTAAAGATCGAACCAACTAGGGTAAACTAAGGTAAACAAAGACCTTAACCAGAAACCAAACCGCTTGGTTTCAATTACGAAAATGGTCATTAAAATGCCTTAAGGCGGCAACCAGTTTGTTGGTCAAGCCATATAGTCAAGAGTGTGTTGTGGCCTTAAAAGGTTCGGGCGGTGGAGCTGCACTTGCTGGAAATGTGCGACATAAAGCAAAGAACTTTGACTTGACTTCCTCATATGTTCCACTAAAATTGCTGCAAATATTGTGGCAATTAAACCACTTGTTAATCTAATTTACCCAAGTGCTGGTACTTTAGGTATTAGCATAACATCGCAGAACTAGCCTATAAAATACTCATAACTATTTTGAATAAAATCGTAGATAAGATATGCTGTAAGGGCATTTCATGTTCTTGTTAATCGAGCGTTTGCCTTATCGTTTGGACTTGGCTAATTCCGTATGCGTGCCACATGTCGCGGCTCATTTAACAATCGCTCATAACGGGGCTCAAAAAACGTTGAAAAAACCAACAACCTGCCCTCAGAGGAAGTCGAATTTTAAACTTCCGACCGATTTGGCGCATATGTCATTACACAAAACAAAATTTGTTTTCTTTTTCAAGTGTTTAAACTATAACAACATTACAATTTGCTACATTTTTTTAAGAATCAATGGTTATATTGAAATGTTAAAGCTTTCTTTTATTTATATATATTATATTTATCGATATCTCCTACTCTATATTCATAAGTGTTCTCATAAATGCAAATACAAATTATAATTACTTTAAAATCGACAACAAAGTAGCAAATTTAAATGTAAGCTTTTTAAATGAAAGAAGTTTTAAAGAAATTTTGATTTGTTTTTTTTAATCAAAAACAAGTAATTATTATTGTGTTTTTCACTGTGCATATATTTAAATGGTCATGAGCACCTGAGAAATACATGCAGGTATATCTAATTATCTATCTGCCGAGTTGTGCGCAAATTTCAATTAGCCAACCTTCTTATCTGCCGCTGACTCTTTTTTTTTTTTTTTGGCCAGTTCAGATAGCACTGCTATGGCCTCAAATATTTGGCCAGCATTTGTTGAATCTTGGCAAATAGAGTATTTTCCGCTTATCGCCGGCTATCTCCAAGCACATTGCGTATACGCACAGATGGCCGAGAGCAAGTCACTCTGAATCTTGAGGCGTGGGCGATTCTGTAATGACGATGACGAAAACTGTTACAAGGCTGAGTTGTCAATGTGTAAATTGTACAGAGACTAAAAAAAACACATTCAAAAGCACCCTGCCTCCATTTCCTGCCTGCCGCCCCTCATTCATATTTTTTCTCACTGTTTTGTTCTTTAATTGGTCGTCGAAAAGCCATTAACTGTGGCACGGATAAGTGCCACAAATTGACCGGAGGCAAGAAAAGAAATAAGTATAACATCGTTCTTAACCCAAATGCCGTTGACAGCGGCATTTTAACACATTCAAGTGGATAAACTTTTGCCAGCGAAATAAGCTAGATTGCGGAGATTCGTATGTTAGTATGTGCCAACAGATTTAGCGAGTTTTTCTATTTTCCGACACCAAAACCAAAACGAACGAGAAACAGACCAAGAAACAGCCGCCAACAATTGCCAAATAATTCTATTTTGTGTATACATTTTGGAATGAATGAGTGAATTTAAGCCGAGTTCAATGCTGCCCACATTCCAAACATTTTTCAATTCGTAATGCTGCCATTAACCGACCTTGCCCTGCCCACACTCAAGTAAATGCAACTCCAACTACAATATTGAGTGCCTATACATTTTTTACGTATATGTATTGTTATTTTTTAAATGAATAATAACCAAAGACCATTGGTATTTTTATAACATAGAAATAAGGAGAATTTTTACTTTCGTACTCATGAAAACGATTTGCAACTTACTTACTTTATTTAGTGCTATTCCGATTTATGATTTTTTTTATTTATTTAATTAAATACCCATTTTAATCTTTACAGATTCTACAAAACTTGGGCAAAGTGGATCGCACCGCAGATGAAATTTTCGACGATCACCTAAACAACTTTAACCGCCAACAGGCGAGTGCCAGCAAATTACAAAAGGAGTTCAATAACTATATAAGATGTGTTCGTGGTAAGTACGTTGAATGATTTCTGCAAATATTCGAGACTAAGATATGTATGTTCTATTCCGACAGCCGTACAAACCGCCTCCAAAACGCTGATGGATGCCGTTGGCGAGATCTACGAGCCACAGTGGAGCGGATACGATGCCCTGCAAGCACAAACTGGCGCCTCGGAGAGTTTGTGGGCGGACTTTGCGCACAAATTGGGCGATCAAGTGCTCATACCGCTCAACACATACACCGGACAGTTCCCCGAAATGAAGGTGGATTTGCTGCAACATCTAAAATTTGAATAAATGTATTATAAGGTGCTATTTTTTCAGAAAAAAGTGGAGAAGCGCAACCGCAAGCTGATCGACTACGATGGCCAGCGTCACTCGTTCCAGAATCTGCAGGCCAATGCCAACAAGCGCAAAGATGATGTCAAAGTGAGGACTATAGTTTATTGTATATGACTGGCCTTTTTAATTAATGGATTTTATTATTAGCTAACCAAAGGACGCGAACAGCTAGAGGAAGCCAGACGCACCTACGAAATCCTGAACACGGAACTGCACGACGAGCTGCCTGCCTTATATGACTCAAGGATACTGTTTCTAGTCACCAACTTGCAGACGCTATTCGCCACTGAACAAGTGTTTCACAACGAAACGGCTAAGGTTCGTTTTGGATACCAATTAAGTTCAAAAAATAATATACACAATCTAAATGGTTCCAAAAATTATATATAATAGGTTTAAATAAAAAAATACCCTAAAGCTATGATCAAAGCAGATTTTTAGCTTTAAAAAAGTAACAAAGTCAGCAAAGTCTTCATTAACAGGATAATTTATCTTTTAAATTGATTATAAAACCCTAAATATTTAGTTAGTATATTAAAAGATGTAGAGTTATATATAAATTCAACTTTTTTTTGCGTCTTTTCGAGTGCAGATCTATTCGGAGCTGGAGGCAATCGTCGACAAATTGGCCACAGAATCGCAGCGCGGCTCCAATACGCTACGCAAGCAAACGAGTAAGCCTGTCCAGTGTTTAATTACATATCAGCGACTTTAATTAATGTGATTATCATTGTTTTAAACAGGCAATCCCATCAAGACATCGAGTCCAGTGCAGTCGCCAGTGAACAAATTAAATAACGCCAATATTAACAGCAACTATCAGAATCAGATAACCACAAACGGTGGCTCCAGTTTGGCAAACAGCCGTAAGTCCCATTATCAGGTCTTTTATCCGATCTTTCCTATATCTCTTTATATCCCTACCACGAGAACAATAAGTATTTTCTGTTATTTATAAATTCTTTTGTTTCTTTTGCTTTTCCTTGATTTTTTACGTTTATTTAACGATCAAAACAAACAAAAAAAATACCCATTATAAATTGCTCAAAACTGTACAAATAATAAACAAACAATCTCATAAAAAATCCATTAAAGATTAATTATATTTGTTGATGTTCTATATAAAAGAGCTCAATATAATACACAACATATAGAAAATATATTTAAACATTTATTATATTTGATACTCGCACTATATTATGTATGCAAATACTATATGTACACTATTCAGATGATAATGATTTCGCTTAAGTTTTTGGCAATTTATAAGAAATTTTTTGATTTGATTTTGATTTCTCTTGGCAACTAATTTTGTTAACTATTCGTTTTAATTTTGATCTAAAAAACATTCTTGGCATTGCGAAAACATTCCATTTGTAGACAATTTAGCTTGTACATAAAGACGAAATTGTTGGCGGCGGTCTGGCGATCTGGGTTAGCTTTAATCTAACTTTCTAAGAGATATTATACAATACTATTGAACCCTACTATTCTGCCCTTTAACTAATTAAAAGTTGAGATTGGAAGCCATGCAAATGAGATCCCAGGTTGCTAACGACCGACTGACTGAACGGACAAATGGAATGTTGCATGTTCTTGTTGCTTTTCAAAAGTTCTGATTGAGTTTTTCCCATGTTTTGCTTTAACATGCATGTCCTGAGTTTTATTTGATTTGTTTTCTCTCTTTTTTATTTAATCTTTTGTTTGGAATGATGCTAACCACAATACAAAACGAAACCAAACTGAATGTTATAACAATAAAACAAATGCATTCGGCAATCAACAAAACATCACAACGTATAAAATACAATCGAAATAAAATATACACACACGCGAAACGACACCACAATTAGCGACATCCACCAGCTCGTCGCTGCAAGAGCCGAGATTTGATTCAGTTTCTTCAACACCAGAACCGCCCCCGGATTCCCCAGTAGCAGCCGCGCCCAGCAGTAGTCCCACGGAGAACGGTGTGACCGCCGCCGTCGCCAAGCCACTGGAGCGACCCGAGTTGAGTGGCCTGAGTGCGAGTGGTAAGGCAACCACAACCACGCAGACATCGCCCACGGAGGAGGAGGTGGTCGTGGTGGCGGTGGCCAGTGATGTGAAGCCATCTGAACCTGAAGGAGCAGTAGCAGGCGCATCAGCAGCAACAGCAGCAACAGTAGCAGTAGCAACACCTGCCCAAGTCAATGGCAACAACAACGAGCCGCATGTCACCAAGGAGGGTGGCAAACAGCCCAAGGAACTCCCGAACACCACATCCAATGCCGAAGCTGCTGCCGAGGCGGCGGCCAACAATGGCAACTCCATCGAGGAGCACAAGCAGAAGAAACTAGGTAATGACACAACAGCAACAGCAACAGTAGCAACTGCAACAGTCACCCAGCACTTAGTTACATCAACAGATACAGATATAGTAACAAAATCAGATACAGATACAGCTACAGGTACAGATACAGATACAGATACTAAGAGCAGCACAGGCACAAGTCAGAAAGGTAGACCAGTACCAGTAGTAAATAGGCACAGCGTAAATAATCCTAACAAGAATCCGTTCGAGGATGACGACGATCGTATCTACGAGGTGCCCGCTGGTGAGTAAACCTCAAAAAACGAGTTCACGTCCACTGGGTCCAATCGCTTTCTATCCACCCTGTAGTATTTCTATCTCACTATCTCTTTGCATTTTTCGAAGGACCACTTCTAATACCTGTACTCTAAGCTTAGTTTCCTGTGTGATTGTCGTCTAAACCAAACTGAGGATTTCTGTATTGTATTGTATGTATATTGTAAAGCGATCGAGTGGCATGCTGTGCGGGGCATCCACAAGGGCAGGAGCTGAGCTCAATCTCATATTTCCTGGGCTGTGCATCTATATCTATCTATTTATGTTTTTCTCATTTAGTACTTTTAGTTTGGACTAAGTTAAGTCTCTTCATGTTGTCTTAATTCGGGACTTGAACACGCAGGTGATCGTACAACTATCTATGTAATAATCACCCATCAATCCACCATTGCCTGCACGTTCGCTGCTTCGGTCGTTTATCGTTGGCTAAAGCCCAACTTTGCCAAACACACTGAAAAACTAACAGCCAAAAAAAAAAAGAAAAAAATAAAAACAAAATAAAAGCCTGAGAAAGCGCTACACACCCACTAACCCTTTTGGCCAGGATTGCGTTTTTACGTTGTTCTTTTGCGTGCGTTTGTCTACTAAACTCGGCTATGCCACGTTCGATGTAAACTGTGTGAGGGTTTTGGTACCCAAAACTTACAAACAGATCCTAAGACAAAGCCTATTTGTTTCTCTGAACAGATGCCAACACCGCTGACCTGCCGGCCGGCGTTCTTTACCGGGTGAAGGCCACCTATGGCTACGTCAAGGAGGATGTGGACGAGCTGAGCTTCGAGATAGGCGACCTCATTCGCGTCATTGAGTACGACGATCCCGAGGATCAGGTAAAGTCGATTGAGTAAAACTGTTGGATAGTCTTTTAAAACCTTTGCATATGATGTGTATTTTTTGTCAAAATGTCAAAATATATATATTTTTTGGCTCGTCTGTCTGAATTAAAGGGAGTAATTGTCAAATCAATGTCAAATAATGTTAGCTAGACTGGTATTTTGCTCGGAAAAATATTTATTTATTTTATGAAATCTTTAACCCGTTATTATTTGCAGCATATGTAGAATTTTTTACATGCTGAAAGTTGGGAAATAACTCAACTTTTCAAAAAGTGTTTCTTATGTCAGACAAATCAAATTCAGACTGTATTAAGATTGCTTATCAAAGTCCCTTTTAACTAACAAAAGTTATCTGCAAACGTCCATAAATACAACTTATTTAACAGAATTTCATAACATGAAGATAACCTAGCCAAACCTGAAACGATTTTTTGGTAATAAAAAAAACAAGGGCATAACATATGCAAAGGTTTTTCCCAATTTCGGGTTACGAAATTTCCTCCTTGAGCTTTGCACGCGCTAGTTTCCCCCTCCGCGCCAAACGCAGATCCGCGCACTTCCTGTCTATATTGAGTTCAGTTCTTCATTGCCAACTTGCAGGAGGAGGGCTGGCTGATGGGTCAGAAGGAGGGCACCACCGAGAAGGGACTCTTCCCCGCCAACTTCACGCGCCCCATCTGAAGCGGCGGATGGCGGAGCAACTGGGCCAGCAACTAACCATCGGCAACTTCAGTTACACCACCAACAGTTTCAGAACGAAGATCCCAACACCCCAAACTTTCGGCCAAATTAGCTTTGTGAGCGCTGCTTTTGTTTTTGTCCAGTTAATAAATTCTTGTTTTGTGAATTGTCGTCGGGAATTGGCAATCCCACTTAGGGATTGCTCGAGCAGTGCTTCCAACACACAAATTGTTAATGTTAATGCTAATGTTAACGAGAACGAGAACGAGAACCACACAACAACACAAAGAAGAACGCAGATGAGGAGCGAGAGAGAATATTTTGAAAATGTTTCAAACATTATTTTTTAGTTCTAAGTTTCAACAAAATCTAAAGCATAAACCTACGTATACATATATTATTTGTTAATCCTATTACTGTGCTCATAATCGATGCGTATCTAAACGTGTCTAATTTGTAATTTGTTAAAGGCAAACCACAAATGTAACGCATATCACTCGAAGGCCAGTCTAATTGTTAAACAAATCAAAAGTCGGAGGAGAGAGCCTGAACCTTTTGTACTTTGTGTATTTTGCAAGTATGTAGTACGAGTTTTTAATAGTCAATTGAGTGTATTTTTGGGGTCGTTGCAAAAAAAGGCCAGATGAAATTCTTCTGTGGCCCCCGAAGTTTTGGAAATTGTTTTTCAAGTAACAACTTTAACGTTTAGCGATTACGTGTATATTAATTTGTACTTTGGTTTTTAATTTTCGTCTGAGAGACTCGAACTAGCTGCAGCTTTATAACACGAACACAATCCAATAGTCACTAACCGATCGATTCGATATCTTTGTTTTATTTAACTCGGTTGTAAATCACACGAGATCCGAAATAATTGTTTAAATTGTGCACACACTGTAAAGTTATTATTTAAATTTTATTTAATTAATTTAAACACTTATTTATCGCATGAACATATTGAACAAATGATAATAATTTACAGAAAAGCAAATAAAACATAGATTAAATAAGATGAACTTTTTTATTTTGGCGGGCAATGGCAATCGGCTTTGGTGCTGCAAAATAACGAATTAATATTGTTGTACAATACAAATTTTACTAGAACTTTATTTTTTTTATTTTTTATAATTTATAAAATTTATTTTTGTTTTAATCAACGGTTAGCACGTTGAATTTTGCGCAATTCTAAATACAAGTCACTTTGTGCCGTTTTTCAGCACTGAAAGAAAGTACTTAAAATTTATCGAAACACCAACTATATGCTTATTAAATCTATCGACAAATAAGAAGAAGCAGAGAAGGTTAGTATATAAAGTCAGTATTTTTTGATTCCAAAAGAAAGATACTGAAATCGAAAGCGTAAACTGCTTGCAAGTGGTGTACTTCAGTACGGTATTTATTGGTATATTTCGCTGCGCGTCGGATGGTATGTTGCGTCGTTCCCCGTGCGGTCACACTGTCCTCAAAAACTACGGTCGTGCGTCAACGTTAGCGAAAAATGCAAAATTAAATATGTTGTGAGTAGCGAGCTATGCCAAATCGAATATGTTGTGAGTTTCGAGCGAAATCCCCGCCTAACGGATGCCCCGCCAGCCAGCGGTGTCCATCCGCTGCCGCCTGGCAGCCCCCAAAGAAAACCCCCCCCCGAAAAAATTTTACCTGCACCGAAAACGTCCCAGAAAGCCAGTGTTAAGTGCGTTTTTTCGCTAATAAGTGCCGCCTATTGAGCAATTCCTTCATAATTCTTAAACAATCGCCGAATCGAATCGTGAATTCATCAAATCGCTTTGCTATCAAAAATTTTTTCGTTTAGTTAACGCCCTCGCTTATATTTGTGTGTATTCGTTCGTAAAGCAGTGCCGTGCGCACTGCTTGCCCGAGGAAAACACTACGAATAGGAAAAAAAAATTGAGAATTGTAACAAAAGTTAGTTTGTTGTTTAATTTATGTGATTTTTTCGCTACTAAATGGTGTTTTTAACCAAACTATCTTTAGGGGTCAACGGAATAACTTGCGAAAAGTATAAAGGGTTTGGGCTTTGGGCGGGTGGGTAAAAAAATGAAAGGGGGAGGGAGGGGCTGTGTGTGTTTACCTTAGACAGTATGATGATGATTTTCCGGAATGCATATTCCTATTTTGCACCCATGCCACCCCCTCATTCTTCTCTTTGTCTCTCTCTTTTTACTTGCAGTTCCACTGCATACAGAAAAATAAACAAATACAAGAAGCATAAAGTATGCAGAAAATTAAATACAAAAGGAGCCACTAAGTGTTTCGTGTGAAATCAATTTGAGAGCGTTCGTCGTCGTCGTACATACTTTTCCGTTTCAATTACACTACAATGAATATTTGTTGAAACTTCGTTGCATTTACAGACTGGTGTTTAAAAACAACAACAACAACAAGAAACGACAACAAAATATTACAACAGCAGCCCTCACACACACGGAAAACAAGAAAGAAAAAATATCTACATATATAAATAGTATCATATTTACATTAAAAAGGAAGCCGAACAGACGTAAACGTAACTTTTATATTACAAAGCACCAGTAAAAATAAAAATAATTAACCAACTACACACGTTCCTTAAAAACAAACGTTTTCCAAACCGCAAACCAACTAAAAACGAAATGCTTTTGAAATTAGTTTAAGCTAACTAAAATTTAAACGCAAAACCAACAAACAAACCGCAAGAAATCCGCGTGATTAAATTTAACAAAAGAAAATATAAAAACAGACCGAAAATCGGCAGGGAACCAAATAAACACGGAAGAACTAAGATCTGCGTATAAAAATTACATGTTTTTTGTATAAAATAGTGCTAGCAAAAACCAAACGAGAGGATAACCGGAACATCTTTTTGGAGAATCTCGTCTAAATACGTTAAATATTGTCTCCGTTAAATTAATATGTAAGTAAACCAAAACGAAGTATTTGGGGATTATATTGAACTCGACCACTTGTTGCCAGGCACTTTTTTTGGGTTTCAAGCTTACGATTTAGATATTTAGCTAATTTTTTTAATTTACTTTGGGCTCATTAAATATTCTTTCATATAAAAATATTTAACAAGTATTTCTGATTAGGACTTACAGCTTATTAATGGAAAACATATTAGTGAACAACAGAGACTATATTTCTTGTATAAATTATCAGTCTTAAAACGTGCACCAGGGATATTTTTAATTTCAAATGTAATATAGAAAACTAAATTTCACAAATTTTCAAAATTAATTATATTAATTAAAAATAGATTGCAAATAAACAAGAATTTGTAAAAATTATATTATACTACCCCAACCCACTGTAAATAAAGTAAGGGTTTGATAAGAGCTCAAAGCTTTCAGCACTGTAGCCAGGTAATAGTAAGCTGGTATTTCCGATCTGAAATCGGATTTTAGGAAAACCCAGCAATTGGTGCAGTCCACTCCAGAAGAACAGTAGCCGTCTAAAGATTAAGAAGACAACTCAAACGTTATCTTTGACTGGTTTATCATAAGCGTGCACATATGTAAGGCAGATAAGACCAGTTCTCGGTGGGTTACTCTCCCTCCGGTTTGGTGGCATGATATATCTGGCAAACTATTGTTAAAAAACGCTTCATTGCGCCAATTGCGTGCCCCTGCCCCTGAGTTTTGCGGCTACTGCTAATTAGATTTTGTAGCTTTGCTCACCGAGAATGTTTTCCGCCTGGAGCCCACTCACTAATCCTGGGTACGGTCGACTAGCCATGACTTTACCCAGATCTCCAGTGATTCCTATTCGCCTGCCCAACCACCATTCCCATTTCGCCCTCTCAGACTTTGTCAAAAATATTGGTAGATATTTCATCGATATTTGGAAGTGTCCATGCTGAAAACCTGGCCCCGACTCATGTCAATGTATTCGCCAACAAAATTGGATTAGCAATCACTCGATATGGGAAAAGGGGGCGGGAAAAGAGAGGAAATCGCACCAGTGCAGGTTATAGGCTATATTCTATAGGCTTGCCCTACGCTGAACCCATGAATGAACCAATTCTTCGGGTGGACCAAAATGTAGGCCAAAACGGTAAATACAATTATTTAAGTAGCGATACTTATTACAACCCTATATTAAATTATTATACTAAACTGTTTTATAGTTTATTAAAGACGTTTTCAAGATAGCTAGTCAAATGGATCTAATATTTATTTTGACTTTCTAATTTATTTCCCCTAAAATGAATCCAGAATCCAGTCACATTTCCAAGCTGTGATAACTAATACAGATGTAAACAAAACATCTTGATGATATCATGATAGGTAGTTAAATGGAGCTCCAAATTCTAAAATGGGGTACTAAAGTCATTCTAAGCTTGGTCCACCCAGCTAGAGAACACTCTCGCTGACCTGTGGCCAGCGAAGCCATATATTTACCAAAATCAGCTTTCTTGCAATGAACTTGGCCGGGGGGCCTTTGGCAAACGCTTCCTCAATCTCTTGCCACTTGGCGGAGGGCGATCCGCGGCGATGCGCAGAGAGAGCGGACAGTGTCCAAGCCAGAACCGGACATAGAAGCGAGCCAAAGCCAATGCCATGGCCAGAGGAAACCAGAGGAAACCAGGGGTAGCCATGGGCCGCCATGGGCCATGCATATCCGACGTCGTCATCGACATGGCCAGCTTGGTGGGGCAGGCAAATATGAAATGTTAATTGCCAGCACGGGACACAACGCGGCGAACTCTCGTTGAGCTAACAACTCTGGTGGTCCGTAGAATCCATGGGTCCATAGTTCTTACGGTTCGGTTATGCAAGCAAGTCCTAAATCAAAGCTTCGCCTCTTTTGCAGATGTTCTTGGATCGTTCGATGTGTTCTTCGTTCACGTGTATCCATCACTCTCAGCCTCCGAGTCACCGAAATCTGGTCAAGGACTTAGCGTAGACCTCTGTAACTAGCAATAGCATTAGAGCCAAAGAGAGCCTGGATCGTCAACGCTGGAGGATAACTGCAGAGCGAGCAACGCCGAAGTACAAATGCATCAATCGAAACTGAAACTGAAACCGAATCTGAATCTGTAACTTGAAGAGGACACGTTAAGGTCAGCGCCCGTCACACAACCAACTAGTTAGCTGACAGCGGGTTAGAGAAGGAAGTCAAGGAGACTAGGAGACCAGGAGACCATCCCACCATCCAAACAGCATACATTTTTTCTAAGCGGAACGGCGGGTCGAGCGTAGTGGCAGCAGCACGCGAAAGCGTCCACAAATCTAGTTAGCATGGAGTGCTGTTTATCGGAGGAGGCCAAGGAACAAAAGCGCATCAATCAGGAAATCGAGAAGCAGTTGCGCCGAGACAAGAGAGATGCGCGCCGCGAGCTTAAACTGTTGCTGCTGGGTAAGTAGAACGTGGCGCATTTTGATTGCAATTAACTTGGCTTAATGCAATTGAAGGCAGCCGGCTAATTGCATTGCATTACTATATGATATTACAATATTCTTCAATCCCATATCCCGCAGGCACTGGCGAGTCCGGCAAGTCGACGTTCATCAAACAGATGCGTATTATCCACGGCAGTGGCTACTCGGACGAGGACAAGCGTGGGTACATCAAACTGGTATTCCAGAACATATTCATGGCCATGCAGTCAATGATCAAGGCCATGGACATGCTGAAGATTTCCTATGGCCAGGGAGAGCATAGCGTAAGTGAATCTATATCTATGGCCAAACAATGATATGTTTAATCACAACATAATTATGATCCACACACAGGAACTGGCCGACCTGGTGATGAGCATCGATTACGAGACCGTTACCACGTTCGAGGATCCATACTTGAATGCCATCAAAACGCTATGGGACGATGCTGGCATTCAGGAGTGCTACGATCGTCGTAGGGAATATCAGCTGACTGATTCAGCCAAATAGTGAGTTACCTGGCAGACGATCCATTTCATGCCCAAAAACTAACGAACCCACAAACGAAAAAACCTACGAACCGACTGAAACTGAATCACTGAAAACTAAATCATTTGTCTTATCTATGTATAGTTATCTGAAGGATCTCGATCGTGTGGCTCAACCTGCATATTTACCCACTGAGCAAGACATTTTAAGAGTTCGTGTGCCGACAACAGGGATAATTGAGTATCCCTTTGATTTAGAAGAAATCAGATTTAGGTACAAACCCAATATTTCTCAATTTACCATTGCATGTGTCTGATTTCAATTTCTATATCTATTATGGTTATGGTTCAATTGTTTCTATATGTTAACACACATTTTCAGAATTGTTTAAGCGCATGTCTTTCTAAGAATTTTATACAATTTAGGGAATTAGTAAGGGCTGAGCAAGTTAAATGGACTGAGACGGATCGTAGGACTGATGTCGACTCGGTTATTGTTTCAGTTCTCGTTCTTTAAATCTATTAATTTATCCAATTTAGCTATTTGAGCGACTTAGCTCGAATTGAACAGGCTGATTACTTGCCAACCGAGCAGGATATTCTGCGTGCCCGAGTGCCGACAACTGGCATTCTTGAGTATCCATTCGATTTGGATGGCATTGTGTTTAGGTATATATACTAAATTTAACGCGATAAATTATTGACGGGCTAGAAATTAAAATGGTAATGATACAGCTAGAAACACTCGTATTTTGTATTTGTTTAAAAACTAATGTACTGTGTGTTTTGCGCTCTTAGTTAGAAATAAGTGTTTTTCTGTTTGGCTTATAATGTAATGTTATACCTTGCTTAAAGCTCTTCAATAATAATATAAATTTCTTTAATAAACAGAATGGTAGACGTCGGAGGTCAGCGATCCGAGAGAAGAAAGTGGATTCATTGTTTTGAGAATGTGACATCAATTATATTTTTGGTAGCGCTATCAGAATACGATCAAATCTTGTTCGAATCCGATAATGAGGTATGTTAACACATTTTTTCAATTAAATGTTTCCCAAGTAATATCTAATATATTATTTCCAGAATCGAATGGAGGAATCTAAAGCTTTATTTCGTACTATAATTACATACCCATGGTTCCAAAATTCGTCAGTTATTCTTTTCCTGAACAAAAAGGACTTGCTGGAAGAGAAAATAATGTATTCGCATTTGGTAGACTATTTTCCTGAATACGATGGTAAGTGTTTCGAATGGTACACATAAAGTGGGCATAATTATGTACGATTCTATGCGGCGATGAACCAGGTCCAAAGCAGGATCACGCCGCGGCCAAACAGTTTGTTTTAAAAAAGTACTTGGCCAGCAATCCAGATCCCGAACGACAGTGCTATTCGCATTTCACAACGGCCACAGGTGGATTTTCACCTTTTGTACTTTTGTACTTGAGATCAATGTTACCGCCTATAAATGCAAAACATCTTCTGTAGATTTATATGCTAGTTCCTGTAGTACCACGCTAGATGTAACATTTTACTTGCCTTTTTATCGAACAGGTCCACAGCGAGATGCAATAGCGGCCCGAGAATTCATACTGCGAATGTTTGTAGATTTAAATCCAGATTCCGAAAAAATTATCTATTCTCATTTCACCTGTGCTACAGGTAAGTGTATTTACATTGTGTGTGTTGGTCAGAAAGAGCGTGTGGATGTGATTCTAATTTTCAGCCTAAAAGTCTGGTTAAAAGGTAAATTTTGGTCTGTACAACATTTGCATTTGCTTTTGCCGCTGGTTTAAAGTAGAGTATCGCTAGTCAATTTATTGAACACTATCGAATTGATTTCTAACCGAACGATGATTGATCTCTTGACAAACAGATACTGAAAACATCAAACTTGTGTTCTGCGCTGTCAAAGATACAATTATGCAAAATGCACTTAAGGAATTCAATTTGGGCTAACCTGGCAACAAGGATTTCAGGAAAAATGGCAATGCAAATGAATAATGAATAACTGATTTATAATGTGTATGATTTGTTTTCCAAAGTCCCTCAATAAAAGTTCAATATAGTCTGTTAAATTTCTTGAATGAAATGCGTGTGTGCAAATTGCGCTCTTAAAAACACTTAATAAAATCAACTAATGAGGTTTTCTTTTCTTTATTTAGATACGGAAAATATTAGGTTTGTGTTTGCAGCTGTTAAGGACACAATTCTGCAATCGAACCTTAAGGAATACAATTTGGTCTAAACTGGATTTGGATCAAAAAACTATTTTTGTGATTTTTATACAAACACACATACACATTCATATAATTCCTTTTTCGCATATTTACTAAATATAAAAGAAGAATTGAGCAGCAAGCGAATGTGGCCGAAAATTAGGCATTAATTAGACCCGAGAATGTAACATCAGGAACCGAAAATTGTAGCATAAATAGAATACTAAACTGAGATGGTAATCCAGCATCAACAAAATGATGGAAATGATGTATACATTTTAATTTGAGAGAATAATAACACAAAATCTGATACAAGTACTAGTACAGGGTGACAATCAATAATTCGGAACAATGTTTCTCGCTTTACTCTACGCATATATCGAATCGTAGAAAAATAATATATAGGTATTCAAATTTTATAATTTTTGTCGTACAAATTCTGTGTGCTTTTCAAACTGTTTGGGTAAAGGAAAAAAGTCAAAAAGACAGTAACCAGAAATGATTGGGACCCAATGAAAAGATTAATTGGTTAGGTCACTAGGTTTTTCGGACTTAAATCTGAAGGACTGTAACGTGAATTTAACCTTTCCAATTAAATGCAGTTTCTTCGAGAGTTTTTATACAAAGTACAATTCCAAGTTATTCGTTGTCACCCTGTAATATTTAAATAAATTTATTACTATAGTAACTTTTGTAATAAAAACCGAAACAAAAATATGAAAGTAAATTTAATCAAAAGCTTGATAGGGACAACAAACTGAAACAACTTTGTCGTACTGAAGCATAATAAAGCAACATTTTACTAAAATAACTACAGAAGAAAAACAAAATTTTTCGTAAAGAATCCCCAGGAATATATATATTCAAAGAATTATATATGCTAGAAGTTTCTTATTAGAATTTCAGGGCATATAAGGCGTGTAAAAATAATAAACCGAAAATGATAAGCTGAAAGATAAAATGAATGAAAACGAAATCACAGATAATACTGTATTTTTTATTAAGCTAAACCGTAAATATTGATACTATTGTTTACCGGAATATTTAACTATACATGCAAACAGATAATATAATAATTCATAAACGCATATGTAACAATTAATAAATTGAATAATTTGTATTGCGGCAGCCCCATTCATTGTAAATTACGATTCGTATTAATACCATGAAAACAAAAAGAGAAACCGAGAAACGCGAAACGAAGCGAAAAGTTAGGATATGAATCTGTAAGAAAAACGCCATTTACATGGAGCATCCATTTAAATAATAACACATGTTTGTAAAAATGTCGATAACCACCACCCATGCAAAAACAGCAGAATCCATGCAACTTATTGATATTTAATCAGACATCAGGTCAAATTCAATCAAATGCGATATACCACTGGTCGAGAAACATAACTATCAGAAGGGAAAGTTTTGCTCTCACGTACTTTTGTTGCCATCAAAATTTCAGTCGAAACGAATTGTTATCAAATATAGCTTGATTTTCGTACTTTTTACATTAACTTTGTTAGTTGTTTGCTTATTTTATAGATCTTAATGTATGCAACAATGGACACACTTTGCGGCTGTCCAGTCGATCGAGCCTGCCAAGTGCGTCCAGTGTTTTGTTTTTGTTTTTATAATTTTAGTTTAATTTAATATACAAGGATAACTAAATGAGACGCACATAAATAGAAAAAAAACAAACCCATCAACAACAAATTATTTATGTAAAAATCCAAATAAAACAATTCTACTCTACGCATATGTGGAAAAAAAAAATATAAAATGAAAAAAAAATTGAAACGTACATATATGTAAAATAAATATGAAGCAAAATGTTTTTCATAATTTATTACACTTATTTTGTTCAACTCGTCAGTTGAAGTTGAAGTTGAAGTTTAGTTTAGTCGGGGCCACAGAAGAACACTTCGGCGAGACTTTTAGCAAAGGAAAAGACCCATGGGAGTGGAGAATTGAGAATCCTATAAACAAAATAAAAAATAAAAAACCAATACGCATCTTAGTTTAAGTACGATTCAACAGTGTGTTGTATAAAGCTTTAATCCTCGTAACCACATCTAGTAAAAATAAAGTAATTAAACCATTTTTATGATTAACCAATGGATTAGCTTTTAAAAAGCTTCAATAAGTCAATGTGTATTTTAAAAGATGTAGCAGAGCCCAGAGAGCCAATGAGTTTTGAGACCCGATCGGCATGGATATGGAAACGGTTTAGGTTCTTGATGCGAATATCAATTCACAGCCCATTTGGCTTGGCATCCAATTTGGTAGCTCCGATTTCGGATGGGCCCCATCCGTATTGTATATCCACGGCATTATATACATTCACACACTGACATATATATAGTTTTCCGTCCAATGAATTGCATCAGCAGCGAGCAGACAAAGTCTCCCATTTATTTTGATCTTGTTTCCGGTTTTGTTCTTGCGGAAATTCCATTTTAAAATACAAACATGTTTCGGCGGTTTCAATGCTAGACATTTCCGTTTTTGCAGCCACATACACACACTCACACACTTAGGTCGATTTCGTATTTATTTCCTAGCATTTTGTGCCTTTCCACTATCAAGAATCACATAAAGTATATAGAACAGGCTCCAGAAGCAGTTGGAGTGCTTTGGAAATTGATTAACCGCTGTTCCACAGGGTTTTACAAACATAAAACATTAACCCACAACTGCAGTCTGTTCAGAACCCCAAACAATTAAATTATCAGCATGTGTGTATTGCCAGATTGTTGTGTTTTGGGTTGAAAAGATTGGTTCCTTATTTAAATGATTCGCACCGATAGTCAGACAGTTGTATGTAAATATTTGGCAAATTACTCGGGAAGGGGAATTCGAAAACTTCCCGAGATATACCACATAATCGAGCATATGTATGTAACTATACATTAAACTCAATAAGAAACTATAATAAAATGAGAATTTGATATAAATCATTAATGTATGTATTTTGTATTTTTATATACAATTTATAATTTTGATTACACTTACAATTGTTACGATTAATAACTAAAATTATATGATAAAACCAATATAATACAGATGAATCTACTAGATATGTATTTCCAATATAGAGAAAGCAAGTACATAATACACAAATCCGATGATTGCTAAAGGAATTTCAAAATATTGTAAGGAACTTAAGATTAAACAAAGTAAACAAAGAAATTTTCTAAGCAACAAACAAACTCAACCAGAACTGCAAGCAAAAGGGACAACAATTTAAATGGGAAATTTATGTATTTGTGTAAATCTAAAGCGGAACGAAGGATGTAATATGATCCTTGGGGCCTGATACTCGATAAGTATGGCCACCATTTTCAGATTGATGAAAACCATTTAGGCGTGGAATTCGGTGGCTAGTTTTTACTTTAACTATGTATGTAAATGAAAGAATGACCACATTCCACATAAGAAAGCTTGAAAAGCAAAGTACTATTGAACAAGAATCCCAAATAGTAATGAAAATCTCCCTCAATGTTGAACAAAAAAACAACATTCTCGATCCGATAACGAGAATGATCAACCGAATGTTTCGGTTTCCCCCAATACCCTATAAACTCAGAATCGGGATAAGCAGTAAGAAATATTAGTTGTGAGTTCGGCATGTGGCATTTGATCGGTCGATATTAGGGAGTAATATTCGAGTCGCCGCGTTTCTCTATTGCGCACCTAAGCATAATACATACGTGTAAATCAGAAGCTAATGGACCCACTGGATCCACTGGAACTGCATGCTTAGCCTAGGATTAAAGCAAAAACCACACAGAACCCCAAAACGGAGACAGTCCAACATGTCCATGGGCCGACTATTGATAACTGTAGCATTTGAATTGATTGATATTGGACGGACGGGGTTTTCCTGGGTGTCTATACATTTGTCATACAAATCATATTGAAGACGGAGATTGTATGCGTGGCAATTGTAACTAAACAAATTTTTTAGATAATTAAAAGTATCTATGTACACCTTAATATTAATGAAAAAACCAATATAATATAAATAAAAGTATATTGAAAAGAAAATTCACGAGGTGTTTTATTTGAAGGTCCTTATTACAAAAATTTAGCTAACAGCACTTTTTACTGGCGATTGGGTGGTGTTTTGAATTGGCTGGTGGATTGTATTGAATTCTCATTGGAAATCTGAGAGCGGAACTTGGCCTCGTTTATTTTCGATTACATTTTGTAACGTGATCAGCATGCACTGCCCGAAAATGCTGCGTATAACCGTATGGTAAGATATTTGGTATAGGATATATAGTCAATTTAAGTGATTCTCCCGAAATCTTAAGAAGCCATCATAATACGCAAAAAAATACAGCGAGTTTATAGGATATACTCCTCTGATCGGCAAGATTTCTTTAACAAAAAATCGTAAATTAATGTCAATGAATGTTTTCAGGCACCAGAAAAGATGTTCTTATTTTTCATGGTACACCTTAAGTTTACCAAAGCTAGTATAAGAGGGAAAGTTGCCTAAAATAAAAGAGTGTAAATTGCCCAAGAACACCATTTTTGAAGCTCTGTTTTTCAAGAACACTTTTCCAAAACCCAAGAATTATCAAATTTGATCCATTTGTTATATAATTAAAGGAACACACGTCTGGTGATATACTTTATCGGAAATATCTCCTTCACTTCGTTACAAACTTCTGACCGAAATTACCTCGCAAGGGCTATCAAAATCTCAAATTTTCCTTGGGAGGCGGGTTCTCTATGGAATTTCCAAGGGAACAATAAAAATATGAGTGCTCAAACTTTGTGCGTTCTCTTAAATAGCAGGAGTGGTATATAATTCTCAGCTTTGCCCAGCTGTTAAAGGCAAACTGGCCGTCAGTTTTCGGAAATACTTGGCAGCTGGCGGATGTGAATTTGAGCTTGCGTTGTGTTGCTCTATTAATTGAGAAAGTTTCGGATGAAAGCGATAAAACCGATCAAACTAGGATAAGAGCTAGTCATTTGAATGTTATAGTTGATCGAAGGATCTGAAAGTGACAAACGCAAAGCAAAAAAAAGCTCCTTCTAAAACTATATCTCTAATAAGACTGATAATTCGGTAAAAACTTTTAATGTCTTTGGGCTAAGCTAAACGGTTGATAAAAATATTGCCTAATTTGTATGTTTCTTGTTCGATATTTCGATTGTGGTACGGTTTAAATTCAAATTGGCAGTCAAAATTGAATGCCACTTCCGGGCACATTCCAAAACCATAAAACCATACAAATTTAGCAAAGTGTAAAAAGTATAAGTTGTACTTATCAACAAATTAAAAAAAAAAGTGTCAAGGGAATTAGCCATATGGTTAAGAACTCATTCCCTTTAGTGTTCTTAAATGAAAAGTATAAGTTGGTTTAATCTTTGAGAGAAGTGAGAATTTAAGTTGAAGATTTAAATGAAAACATCGTCTTCTTGTAGGAACAACTGGATCAATCAATATGGTTCTGATTCGTTAGTGATCAATGTCTTCTGAAACTAGCACTAGTAAAAGTTAAAGAGATCCAGAAAAGATCAGAAGAGCAAGTAAATAGCTTGTATTTTTTGTACAAGAAACAGTGAGTCCATAAATCCGGTAAGCATGAACTGCTGTGAATCGATGGAGTCCAAGAATCGAAAGCGCATCAATGATGAAATCGAAAGGCAGTTGCGCCTGGACCAGAGAAATGCAAACCGCGAGCTTAAACTGTTGCTACTGGGTAAGTAAAACATCACACAAGGACAATTGCCGGCTAATTGCAGTCCATTAACGATATTAATATCTTAAATTGGTTTATAATCTCATACCTAAAGGCACGGCCGAGTCCGGCAAATCAACATTTTTCAAACAAATGCGTATTATCTACGGCAATGGCTTTTCGGAAGAAAAGAAGCGTGAGTACATCAAGCTGGTATTCCAGAACATATTTATGGCCATGCAGTCAATGATCAAGGCCATGGACAAGCTGGAAATTTCCTATGGTCAAAAAGAAAACGGCGTAAGTTAATTTTGGATTTTCAAGTACATTTATACTCCATCGAATGATCAACAGGAACTGGCCGATCTTGTGATGAGCATCCATTACGAGAAGGTTGAAGTGTTTGAGGATCCGTACGTGAGTGCCATTAAAACACTTTGGGGCGATGCTGGCATCCAGGAGTGCTACGATCGTCGCAGGGAATATCAGCTAACTGATTCGGCCAAATAGTGAGTTATTGGTTGTAAACTCAACCAGCTTATTTGTTTCAAAATATTGTATATAATTTACAAAATGTAGCTACTTAAGCGACATAGCTCGAATTGAGCAAGATGATTATTTGCCAACCGAACAGGATATTCTGCGTGCTCGAGTGCCGACAACAAACATTCATGAGTATCCATTCGAATTGGATGGGTTTGTGATCAGGTATCTATTAAAAATATAGAAAAATAATATCACTGTTACACAACTGCACATTTATTATCTAAACTTAAAAAAAGTATACTTACATAATAGTTTTCTGTGGGCTAAATCCGAACAGGCCAAACTATTTCACCACTTCAGCGTTTTAAAATGGTTAAAACATTTTAATAACAAAAATTACTTTCCTTGTTATTATGGTTAAAAATGATTATAATCAATATGTTTTCACTTAATAATTAGAATGGTTGACGTAGCAGGACAACGATCCGAAAGAAGAAAATGGATTCATTGCTTTTCGAACGTGACATCAGTTATATTTTTGGCAGCGCTATCGGAATACGATCAAGTCTTGTTTGAATCTGAAAGTGTTGTATGGTTCAAGATTTTCGTTCTATTGTTTTCAAATAAATAACCAAATGCAATTTTTTTAGAATCGAATGATGGAGTCTAAGGCTTTATTTCGAACGATAATAACATGCCAATGGTTTCAAAACTCGTCACATATTCTTTTTCTGAACAAAACAGACTTGTTGGAGGAGAAAATAATGTCCTCGCATTTGGCGGACTATTTTCCTGAATACGACGGTAAGTCATTCGAATTGTTATTCACATAGAGTACATATGTATGCCTTAAAATTACAAATTTAATCTGTAAATTTTGTTCTAAGTTTATTATGAATATCATTTGGTTTTGCTTTTGTTGAACAGGTCCACAGCAAGATGCAGAAGCGGCTCAAGAATTCATATTGGAAATGTATCAAGGATTAAATCCAGATTGTTGTAAACAAATCTATCCTCATTTTACATGTGCTACCGGTAAGCTCATTATTTTGGACAGATACAATAAAAATATTTTGCAAACCATATAATCAAATCTACATATTTTGTTTAGATACGGAAAATATTAGGTTCGTTTTTGCGGCTGTTAAGGACACCATACTGCAATTGCTCCTTAAGGATAATAATTTGCTATAAAATGCTTTTAGATCTAATTTTTTTATGAGTTTAATGCACTTTGTATTTATTTAGAATTAATTATTAAAAATAATTTTAATTAAAAGTATCTGTACACTTTAATGTTAATAAAAACTAGACTTTTATAGTTATTCTGTTACTTGAAGTTTTGAATTAAACAAAATCTTTATAAGTCCCAATAATGTTAGGGACTAAACTGACTTGCTTTGCGCATTATTCAATTTGACCCTATAAATTTGATTGTGTGTGTACTTAGATGCTTTGACATTGATGTTTCTTAAATTCTTGACTCAACTCATATCAGCACAGTGGTTTTCTATTCAAAATTTCGCGTATAATGGCATTACAAACATTTTTTCAAGTCAGATCCATTTAAATTAGGCTTTCAATCGCACATTTTATTATCATTCTACGCAATATTAATTTTCCCTCACAGTTATTTTTTTTTAGGGAGTTAGATATTAAGACATCTAAAACATTTTTGGAATGTCAAAAGCTTACGGACCATACCATCTCGCGAATAGATGTTTCTCTGTGGCAATTGGGTACAAGGAAACCTGAGAAGTTGCTTTAACAGAATACTAAATCTGACTGTTCAAAGGCTCTCAAAAAAAAGAAGGAAAGTGACTTCCGCTTCGTAAGATAATTTCAACTAAGCGCAACCGACAGTTTTCGAAAAATCTCGGCAGCGTACGGACGTAATTTGAGCTTGCGTTATAGCGCTATTAGTCTGAAAAAGGGTTGACAAAAGAATAAAACGATGAAACTAAAAAAAATCAAAAATCAAAAATTCTCTCCAAATTTTGGTTAAACGCTGAGTCTAAAAGTGCAAAAAAAGCTATTAAAAGCAAGAAAACTTCATTAGAAAATCCAAAACAACTGTGCAAAATATATAATGTTAATGCTGAACTAAAAAAATAAACAGATTGTGTGAAAACGTGAGTCACTTTTATTTATTATTTTGTTTTATTCAATGCACAGTGGGCCAGAATGCCCAATATGTATAGTTGCTTATAAATAATTCGAATTCATATATCAATGGTGTTGTCGGTCAGGTACTATTTTTGTGGTGTGGTATGTAATAAAAACACTAATCCTAAGCAGTGGAATATGAAAACATTTCATTTTTATTTAATTTCAATCAGACTGTAAGCGGATTAGCCACGTAACAAGAGAAGCAAACACATCAGGAGTCCGGCGCACCCGCACTTTATCGTAAAAAATAAATATGTAGAGAAAAACCCAAAAAAAATTTTTTAAACCAATCTGAAGTAATTTATCGCATGTGACAAATGATCCAAAGTTTAGGCATCTACAGACCGAAATATCTCATAAGAGGAGTGTACAAACATACACTTATATGCCACTGATGATTTCATAACTTATGAAAAAAATTTGCTTTACAATAAAAAAATATTTTATTTTTTAGTGATTGGCCTAATTAATCTATATTAAAAATATGTAAAGCAAATTTTTGATGCAGGAGGATTACATATATCATTATCTTAAAATGGATTGACTATTTTATTATAGGCTTCTGTAGTTAAATATTTAAATATTTTTTAACCTAGCAGGAACCAAACTTATATTCATGGTTTATTTAAAAAAAGGGCCTTAGATCCATAGTTTCACAATCCTAGAACCAAAATCAAAGCTTCGACTTTTTGCAGAGGTAACTCTTAGCCTTCGAGTCATAGCTAAAATTAAAGAGATTCGGGATAGTGAACGAGCAAAAAGGATTATTTTTCTACAAGGAACAGCGGGACCATAAAAATGGTTAACTTGAACTGCCGTATGACGGAGGAGGCCAGAGAACAAAGGCGCATCAATGATGAAATTGAAAGGCAGTTGCGCATGGACAAGAGAAATTCGCGCCGTGAGCTTAAACTTTTGATACTGGGTAAGTGGAACAAAGCACACTTTGATTGCATGACTGATATATATATATTTTAATTCTATATGGTTTCAGGACCGGGCGAGTCCGGCAAGTCAACATTCATCAAGCAGATGCGTATCATCCATGCCAAAGGCTTCTCACCCAATGAAGTACGTGGGTATATAAAGCTGGTTTACCAGAACATCTTCATGGCCATGCAGTCCATGATCAAGGCCATGGACAAGCTGGATATTTCCTATGCTCACGAAGATCATATCGTAAGTGTTTCAAGCATATATTTATGGTTTGTACTCAAGGTAATTGAATGACCTGCAGAAACTGGCCGATCTGGTAATGAGCATCCCTTATGAGAAGGTTGAAACGTTTGAGGATCCGTACGTGAGTGCCATTAAAAGGCTTTGGGGCGATGCTGGCATCCAGAAGTGCTACGATCGTCGTAGTGAATACCAGCTGACTGATTCAACTGAATAGTGAGTTGTTTTTTTAAATTACTTTATTTGAAAGAGTTATCTTGTCGGAAAAAGGTACAATTAAGCATTTTTTGATGAGGTAAAAATCACATTTTGGTACAACAAAATATTCATATTTAACTCTTTTGGTTTGAAAACTATTAAGCGTATATCTTTAGTTCCAGTTAGTTCATTAAAAGTGATTTTATTTATCTTATTTTAGCTTTTTGAACGACATAGCTCGAATTGAAAATGTTTCTTACTTGCCAACCGAGCAGGATATTCTTCGTGTCCGAGTGGCGACAGTAGAAATTCTTGAGTATCAGTTCAATTTGGATGGCTTAATGATAAGGTATGGTACCTAAAATATAGAGCGATAAATTATACATTATTATTATATTTTTTATAATAGTATCTTTTTCTCCTAACAAACAGAATGTATGACGTCGCAGGACAGCGATCGCAGAGAAATAAGTGGATTCATTGTTTTTCGGATGTGACATCAATTATATTTCTAGCAGCGCTATCGGAATTCGATCAAATGCTTGCTGAAGATGATAGTGTTGTATGGTTACACAAGCCTTAAAAACAAATGATTCCAAAATAATAACCCACACATTTATTTTCAGAATCGAATGAAGGAATCAAAAGCTTTGTTTGACACGATAGTTAAATACAAATGGTTCCTAAAAACGCCAGTTATTCTTTTCCTAAACAAGAAGGACTTGTTCGAGCAGAAAATAATGACTAAGGATTTGGTGGACTATTTTCCTGAATACGATGGTAATTCTTTTAAATTGTATTATATATAATATATATATATATATATATAATATATATATATATATATATATATATATATATATATATATATATATATATATATATATTATATATATATTTATATTTATTGTATTTGCCACACTTATTTGAAACATTTTTATTTTGCTAGGTCCAAAGAAAGACGCAATTGCGGCCAGAAGTTTCATACTGGAAATGTTTGAAAGTGTAAAAATTGATGAAGATGAAAAAATTTATTCTCATTTTACCTGTGCTACAAGTAAGTGTATTTGTCAGGCCCGAAAGTATTTGTGTGATTTTCAATCAATTTAACGCTTTGTCCTTTATTTATTTTTAGATAAGGAAAATATAAGTTTTGTGTTTGCTGCCGTCAAGGACACAATTGTGCAAATGCACCTAAGCGATATAAATTTGGACTAATAATAATAATAATGAATAATTGATTTTTGGTTCCCAGTTAGTGTTAGTGAAAAATCCACAAGTCCACAAAACATTTTTAAAAGTATGTTGAAGACGTTTCCCATGGTTCGACGTTACAAAACTGTTATTTATTTCAAACTTATGATTTACATATACAAACGATTAAAATTAACACGTTTCACAAACTGTACCTATTTTGTCTTAGCGCAATAACTCCAAAAATCACCCTGCCTGCAGCCGGGGCTTCAGTACAAATTAACTATCACAATGAATTCATATTTCTGTCATGCTTTGCATTTGCCATAGAACCTAATATGGGCGAACAAGCGAACTAAACATCACATTGATCAACAGTTAAAAACGAAACTCTCACGCACTTAATCAGCTAAATATAATCTTGGATCGGGGCTCTATTAAATCGTTTTGGCACTTGGGCGTTCACATGACCACAAAGTCGCTGAGGTTGCGTTCTGGTTGGACCATGCTCGCTGGCATCAGTTGTACCAGTTTGTTAAACAAGAAAGCTCGTTTATTCTTCAGCTCGGGAGTGCACTCGGTGCGTGCTCTTTTGGTGCACGATGAGGAGCTGGGACTGGAGGCGGTCTCCGAGATGCCGGACGAGATCAGGCTTTCGTTCGACTCCAGCGAAAGATTCTCGGTGGCGGGGCCATCAACCACTTCGTCTGCAAAGATAAACGCTCAGACCTATTGACAAATGAAAATGTATGCAAAAAAAAAAAACGAAACCTCTTATTTTGGCCGACACATCGGGATCTGTTTCGAGATCTTCACCATCAGCGCATAGTGCTGGTGTGGTACACTCTCTTTCAAGGCTACCGTCATGGTTTTTAAAGAGCAGAGAAGCCAGTTTGTGGAACTAAAATTAAAGTAAAAGGACGTAACCACCTGCAGGAGTAAATATAGGGAGTAGAGAACATACGTTATTCAATTGCTCCGCATCGTTATGATCAATCACAGCGGCTATATGATGACGCAAATACTGCATCGCCTTCAAGGGATCCTGGCGCGTCATCTCCTCATAGCGCATTTTGCGCACCAAAAACCGACAGTGCTTCAGGATCTCCTCTCGTTTTGGTCTGTAATACAATCATTTTAGCATCTGATACTTTCATTAAAACGTGTACTTACTTTTCTAAGCGCAGTAGCCAAAAATCATCAAGTCTTAGTTGCTGTTGCTGGCAGATTCCAGGATTTCCCCCAAACAAATAATGAGTATTGGCCAGATCATCGTACACCAACTGGTGGGCATAGCGTGGACAGGGCTCTAGTGCTCCGTCCCCCTTGCTGGCACCCAAAATGTTCATCCTGCTAATGGAGTTCGCATCCTGACCACTGTGGCGGCAGTAATATATCCTAGACCACTTGTGATTGCGCAGGGAGTAGACCCAAAAGGAGTTCGATGCATCAACGTGTTGTATATCACGACGATCCTTAACCTTACTCAAGCTCTAGAAATATACGAATTAGTGAAGGACTCTGGAATGGCATCTTACAGGGCATACAGAAAATATATATATCTCATCGCGTTCACAATCGATGGTGGCTCGCAAAGTATACCCAGATGAGGGTTCAAATTTGGCTTCGTTGCCAGCGGTGGTTCCATGATGAGGTTGCTCTTTGTTGAGCACGGATATAGCCTGGGTGTCCACGTCGTAGCTGAGGAACTCGTCCAGATCCTCCTTGCCTCGTTGTCCGCCATAAATATAGAGTTTTCGATGTTTCTAATAAAAAATTAAGATGAACCCCGAATCTTTGTAAATTGAATCAAACCTACATTATGAAAAACCATGCAATGTGTGATCCTGGACTTAATGGACAATACATCTGCCATCGATGCGCTGGCGTGGTGGCAATCCACAAGTATCTGTGCCCAGGTGTTCGTTGCTATGTGATACGAAAACAGCCCCGAATACTCGGGCTCTATCGCTCCCGTGGCGTTGACACTGCGAGGCGTTAGTATTTTGCCTCCAAAAACGTAAATGGTACGCTTATCGGCATCCATGCACATCTGGTGATCGTAAACCAGCTGGGGGCCACCCACTTGGCTGGTGTCATCGCATATCTGCATCCAATTGCCAGCTCTCGTATCGTACAGGTAAAAGTCACTCTTGATATAGTCCGAGGTTCGTATCGAGTTGTCCAGGTAACGACCAAGCATGAACACATTTTCGCTGATTGGATCAAAGACCATTTTGTGGCAGGATCGCGGTGTGGGTCCATTGGAAAGCTCTGACCTCTCGCACAGCAGTGACCATTGATCATCATCGATGTTGAATACCCAAAGGTCACTCAAATCCTGATAACCATCCCAGCCGCCGTAGAGATATATCAGTCGCTTTTTGGCATCCACCACCAGCTGATGACCGCCGCGATTGCCTGAACGATTCGATGTTTAGATGATGATTGCTATTTCGAGTGCGAAATACTAACCAGGCTTCATGTCGCTCTCGGTGTGCTTCATGTGCCAGCTGTGCTTGTAGTCCTGCTTGTAGAGATACTCATCCATCAGACCCTCGTCAATGCACTCGACTATAAACCTTTCAGCCTTCTCAAAGTCTCCCTGCAAAACCTGTGTAGAGGAGAACAACGATTTTTTATTACCGGTAAACCATTAAGGTTGAAGATTCAGATTCCCTGCTTACCAGACACTTGTGCAGTTCGCTGATCAGCGGGTGCTCCAGTTGGACATTCGTCTGCTCCTGGAGCGCCCCGAAGGCACTCATGTAGCCCTGCTGGCGGAAGTGCTTAAGGCACAACTTGATGATTTCCACCTCGCGCAGCGAGTTGTAGCTCTTCATGCGGGCACTGGTGTACATCGGGTCGTCCTGGCCGTGCAGCTCGACGTACCAGATGCTGAAGTTGAAGGACGGACCCCAGGAGAGCAATGGCACGATCTTGAGGTACAGTATTGGCAGGTTCTCCGCGCCGTCTTCGGTGAGGCAGCGCAGGTTGAATACTTCCGGTACGTTGTCGTTTTTCAGACCACTTTAGTAAATACAAATGCTCTAGTTTCGTCAGGATTATGCTCTACACAGATCTGTGATTAACCTACCCTTCAAGCAACAAAACCATGTGCTCATCCTCCAAGCCCCCGTAAACGCGGAACTTCTTGATATTACACACATGCGACTTCTCGAACTTGCCAAACTTGATTTTTTTCACAATGGCGGGACGGCGAAGCTTTAAGGTGAGAAATTGCGGCGGACTGTTGGTGTAGGCGGACCACCTGGAAGTTTGATCGTTGGGGCAGTCCACGAGGACGTTTCTGCAAATCGAATGGAATGGAACTTATAAAGATGCGCATTTCACAATTACGAAATCCCGGGCATCCATTTTTGTTCTCTTAGGGGGAAACTTACTCGGGCAGATAGTTGGGCGAGTAGCTGGAGTAACGGTAAATCTCAAAGTTCAGGCGCTCGGAGAGGGAAAATGGCTTCTGGGCGTTGCTTTGGGTGCTCGTATTCGTCCCGGAGGCTGGATTTAGGGCGGCACCAAACGATGACGGCGCCAACGATCCGTGCGAGCTGTTGTCCGTGGGACTGGAAGTCGAGGAGGAGGACATGGCTGATGGATGTGCGGGGCAATGTTCCAATGATCCTTGCGGTTTAACGGAGTGTGAATGCCGGCCAAAGAGCAATCTTATTGCGGTTGTTACTTTTGCTACTTGTCCGCCTTTTCGGTGTTCTTCTTTTTCCGCACCCACAACAACCGCGTAACAGCTGATTACCAGGGGCGCATGCGGGCTTTTGTTAGAGGGGCACATCTTAGGGGTTTTAAAAAGTTTGTTTATATAGATGTTTAAATAAATAAATAAGCAAAATAAATAAAGTTAATATATATGTATATGCACAGTCTTCAGTATAGTTCTGGTCGCTATGTGGGAAAAATAAGTTTGTTTTCGTTTGAAAGGGGAAAACAAAAAGCTCCCGCCACTGCCTGTTTGTATTCGATATCTGTCTGTTATAGTCTGTTATCGGTTATTGTTTTCAAAATTGCTCACGCGTAAAATTACGACTTTTAATAAAAATTAAGTAATTAAAATGTATTTAGTCTTTAGTTTGGGTCGATTTGGAAGACTCATTTTCATTTGCGCCCAAGATGGGAAAGTGTATTGATGTTGCGCATATATATTTGGGCGTTTTATTATGCCTAGCGCACACAGTCGTACGTTTTTAAACCCTAATACTGCCCAGCCTTAACAATTTGTTTGTTTTAGTCCTTTTCCAACGAAGCCTATTACAAAATCAAGAAAAGTGAATGCTTAGCTAATAAGGACTATTTTAGCAATGTTTCGTGTGTTTTAAAGCCAATAAGCTGGACTAGATCAGTTTTGAACATGGATTGTGACATAAATGATATTTTAACGGATATTAAAGTAAGTATATGCACTATTCGAATATACTTATTCCATTTTGAATGTTTTTAGATGACCGTAGATGTTTTCTACAAGGACTCTTCATATTTATACAAACCATTTCTCCTCAAAATTAAGATTGACATATGTCAACTGCTAAAGAGGAAAACCCAACAGAACTTTTTGGAAAAATTCGCTATTAACCATATTTTAGCGTTGACCAATGTTAACCACAGCTGCCCACTTACGGTAAGTTTTAGAGTCACTGAGAACCCTTTTTTAATAAACCATTTTTTTTAGGGTCACTTGTTTGCGCGTGATTTCCATTTGGATTTGGTGTCCTTGCCTGCACTGCCTCAGCTTGATTACAAAATTGCATTTAATTTTTCAGGTGCTAAGCCGGAGAAACATTTGGGTGTGGTTTTAATCTTTTTCGAAGTGGTCGAAGATTATCACAAAAACAGAAGGACAAAACCACAGGCAAAGTCGATTGTTTCTGTTTGAAAAGCATATAGAAACTTTAAGATTTTATCTGAACTTGTAAATCTGTTTGTTTCACAAAGTATACGTATAGTTACTTCTTTAGTTTGCACATAAGTCCTTTTTGAAAATTTTGTCGGCTGTGCCCGATAATAATCGATAACATTTCGGGTAAAAACATACCGACCACACGGTCACTCTAATTTTTGTGTCGTGGCTTGGTTTTGCACTAAATTTTGTAGTTTTAAAACAATTTATTTATAAATAACTATGGCCTTTGACGCGATACCCAAGGATCTGCGAGGCCTTCGCGCCTGCCTTGTTTGCTCCCTGGTAAAAGTAAGTTATTTCTTACCGGTGATCCGGCACTTTTTAATCGGACCCATTTTCCGCCTTCAGAGTTTTGATCAATTTGAGACTGATGGCTGCGAAAACTGCGAAGAGTTCCTGCGGATGAAGAACAACAAGGACAATGTGTACGATCATACAAGCAACAACTTTGACGGAATCATTGCATTAACCACGCCAACCGACTCCTGGGTGGCGAAGTGGCAGCGATTGGGTAAGGTCTTCATAAGTAGGATTCCACATGGCTCCCCCCACTAAATTTGATTTAAATTGCCTTTAGCCCGCTTCACCCGTGGCATCTACGCCATCTCCGTGTCCGGAACTCTGCCGCAGTCCACTTTACGGGACATGAAGAACCGTGGTATTGTCTACAAAACCCGAGATAGAAGCCAGCGCTAAGCCACCGCATTGCAGTAAAAAATACATGTATAAATCTTTATTTTTAAGTTATAACAAAAACCACGAATACATACAGTAGCAATACAAAACCGAGATCGCATCAGTCATCCAGTGAACTAACGCGCAATCCCTCACCACCGGCAGTCGTCACATGAACACCGAATCCCGCCGATTCCAGTTCCTCCTTGAGCTTCCAGTAGACCTCGTTGCACTCGTAGTTCTCAGGCAGCAGAACGATCACATAGCCACCGGCACCGGCGCCCGTCAGTTTCGAGAAGAAGCCCCGCTTAAATGCGATGGTGAAGATCTGCTCCAGCTTGGGATGCGACACTCCTATGGCCTTAAGCAGATCGTTGTTGATTTGGAATAGGCGCTCCAGCTTCTCGAACTTGGCGCTGTCGTCCTGGGCATTGCCAAAGCTCTCGTAGAGCGGAACGGCGGCAGTGACCAGCTCCTCGCAAGCCTGCCAAATGGCCTCTATGAGCTGCGGGAAAGCCTCGCCCAGATGACGCACCTTGGCTACAATGTCCGCGGTGCTGCGACTCACACGACTGTCCACCAGCAGGATGTTCAGCGGCTTTTGAATGTGCAGCGACTGGAAGCCCTGACCCTTGACATACCGCAGCATTCCTCCATATGTGCACACTGTGTTGTCTAGACCCGAGGGAGTGCCGTGATTAACCCGCTCCGATTCGAAGGCCCAGGTGGAGATCAAAGCCTGGTTTTCCTCCATCAAGTAGCTGTCTCTATCAAAGTGTCCGGCCAAAATGAGAAAACTCGTGGCTAAGGCGGCACCAAAAGAGGCGGAACTTCCCAAACCGGCGCCCACGTTCAACTGGCTGTCTACCTGCACCTGGAAACCGGTTTGTAGTGTCATTTTCGGATCGCCTGGCGCGGAGAGTACAGCGCCGGCCAGCAGATAGTAGATGGAGACAAAGGCCCGCTGGGTGTGCTGCTTGGGTGCACCGCCTCCAGAGCGTTCCAGCTGTTTGGATACCTCGGCCCGGACTGCCTCTAGTAGCTTGGCTGTGCTGTCTGAAGGATACTTGCTCCTGAAGTCGGCCAGAAAGTCATTAAACTCCGGCAACTGGATCTCCAGGGTGCAGTTGAGTGCCTCCAACTGAAAGCTTGCTACCTGGCTGGTCTCCAATTGGCGGAATCTTAGTGTGGTGCCCAATCCCACAACGGCGGCGAGTGCAGGGCGATGGTAGACGACTGCGTGCTCCCCATGGAGGATGACCTTGCCCGGAGAATGGACCTGGAACTTAAGCATCGTTGTTTATTGTTGATCGCGGTGATCTCTGTTGTGTATTCCAAAGTTATTGCTTTATCGGTTAATCAGTTTTTTTTCTTGAATTGTTATGCTAATGCCTTTGGCCTCTCGCGAGTACTTAAACTTTAATAGGTGTTTGTTTTATGTAACGTATGCATTTAGCGGATCATTTGCGTTGTTTATTTGGTAACTCCACAAAGCTGAGTGCCGATTCCTGTGCTTTCCCTTTCACTTTCTTTGTTCGACTGGCGTTTTTTCGGGTTTTCGTTTCTTTGATCGCGTCGTCACACGCTAAAGCTCAACTACAAACGAACGAACAACAGGTTATTGCGGCTTGTGATTGTTGTTGTATGTATATCTGATGGTGTTTGTGTTATTGTAGTTTTTGGTGTTACTATTGGGCTTTCACTTTCTCCCACTCTTCGGGCGTGTACGATTTCTGTGAGAATGCATGGATTTCTTTCAGTTCTTCGGCCAGCGTCGAATTGACTAATCTATGTTTTTGCAACAGGGTTTTGCCGTTAAAGGCTGATGTCACGATGATTGCGCTGAATTTGCCGCCACAACCGTCCGATTCGTCCGTCACACTCACGTAGTCCGCCTGCAATTCCTTTTTAAGCTTGTCTTCGAGGTATTTAGAATTGTATTTACTCATTTTGGATGGATTTTTTAAACAAAACGAGGTGCTTAGCTTGGGCAGTGTGGACGTTTTGGGGTTCGGCTAAATTGTTGTTGCTTGGATGCCGGTAATTGGTATTTTCTTAGTACCAATGCTAGGTCTGACTATTGTAGCTTGCAATGCTATTATAAATACTATTTAAATTTTCAAAAACTTCCATGTTTCGATCCAATTTATCGACCTAACACCTATAGTTTTAAAAACAGAACAACATGGTCACTGATCACTAATGGATCCAATAATCAGTGATGAAGTTTGTTCTGCTGAACGCTTATGATACATTCCACCGCCGTAGAAATATCAGCTTGGAACCTATCGGTATTGAGTTGTTTCGCGCCAAAAACAGCTGACTGTGCTTATCAAAACCAATTTGAATAGACAAATGTACGTACGAATACATTTTTGTATTTTTAAGAGAGACAAAGAGGATATTTTTTTTTTTTACAGGTGAAAGCAAAATCTGGACCAGTGAGGCCACAAAAATTTTCTTTTCGCTGAGCATCAAAATCAAAAATCCTCTTTTGGTGACCATGACGGAAGAATTTTTGTATCATGATCAGTGATCATACGCGATGTCCACTTAACTTAACATCACTAATTTAACTTAAATTAACTAAGCAGAATATCAGTTTTCCAAATAAAAACAACGGAAAATAGCTTGTGCTGCCACTCTTTATAAAGTTAGCTATCACTGCCACACCAAAACTATCGATAGCTAATCGATATTTAGCCGCCTGCTTCTCTGACGCAGCCAACTTCGCGCATTCATCGTACACTCTTGCGATAGCACGCGCAGTTTTCCCACCATTCATTAAAAAAAATCGCATGTAATTATTTACTTTTTGTTAAAGCAAAACTTGATTTGTTTTGTGTAATTTGTACTTTAACTTGTTCTGAACTCGTTACTAACTATTGGGGCTTACGGTTTTCAGTACGAATTCGAGGACGGACGAAAGCATCACGCCACATTGTCCAGTGCAAAAATTGTGGAAAAACTGAATCCTACTTGAGAGGCAGACACCGGCATTGCAAATATGTCCAAAACGGAAACCGCCGCCGTGGAGGCAACGGAGGAGAACTCGGTAAGTCAAACTAGGGAGGATTGCCACCGAGAAGTCTGTACATATGCCGCGGTCTCTTACAGAATGAGACAACTTCGGATGCGGCCACCAGTTCATCCGGCGAAAAGGAGGCCGAGTTCGACAACAAAATCGAGGCGGATCGCAGCAGGCGCTTCGATTTCCTGCTAAAGCAAACGGAGATCTTCACCCATTTCATGACCAACAGCGCAAAGAGTCCCACAAAGCCCAAGGGCAGGCCCAAGAAGATTAAGGACAAGGAAAAGGATGTGGCCGAGTGAGTAATGCTCGTCAAAACCCACCTCCTTTTACTCATTACTTCTTTTGTCAAAATTAGCCATCGGCACCGCAAAACGGAGCAGGAGGAGGATGAGGAGCTCCTCGCGGAGGACTCGGCCACCAAAGAGATCTTTCGCTTCGATGCCTCACCCGCCTATATTAAAGGGGGTGAGATGCGTGACTATCAGGTCCGCGGTCTCAACTGGATGATTTCGCTGTACGAGAATGGCATTAACGGAATTTTGGCCGATGAAATGGGTCTGGGCAAGACCCTTCAGACTATTTCCCTCCTAGGCTACCTCAAGCATTTCAAGTGGGTTGCTGCAGCTATTATTGCCTTTAAGAATACTACTTATTTTTTAAATTTTCCTGCAGAAACCAAGCTGGCCCCCACATCGTCATCGTGCCCAAGTCTACGCTGCAGAATTGGGTGAATGAGTTCAAGAAGTGGTGTCCCTCGCTAAGAGCCGTCTGCCTGATTGGTGACCAGGACACGCGCAACACTTTCATTCGGGATGTGCTCATGCCGGGAGAGTGGGATGTTTGCGTCACCTCCTACGAAATGTGTATCCGTGAAAAGTCGGTTTTCAAGAAGTTCAACTGGCGATATCTGGTCATCGACGAGGCCCATCGCATTAAGAACGAGAAATCAAAGCTGTCGGAGATCCTTCGTGAATTCAAGACCGCCAACCGCCTGCTCATCACGGGTACTCCATTGCAGAATAATCTCCACGAGCTGTGGGCTCTTCTCAATTTCCTGCTGCCTGATGTTTTCAACTCGTCGGAGGACTTTGACGAGTGGTTCAACACAAACACTTGCCTGGGTGACGATGCACTGATCACGCGTTTGCACGCCGTTCTGAAGCCTTTCCTGCTGCGTCGACTCAAGGCCGAAGTGGAAAAGCGCCTGAAGCCCAAGAAGGAGATGAAGATATTTGTTGGTCTGTCCAAGATGCAACGTGACTGGTACACGAAGGTGCTGCTCAAAGACATCGATGTTGTGAATGGCGCCGGCAAGGTGGAGAAGATGCGACTGCAGAACATCCTCATGCAGCTGCGCAAGTGCACCAACCACCCGTATCTGTTCGATGGCGCCGAGCCAGGACCACCGTACACCACGGACACCCATTTGGTGTATAACTCCGGCAAGATGGCCATTCTGGACAAGCTGCTGCCCAAGCTACAGGAGCAGGGGTCGCGTGTGCTGATCTTCTCACAGATGACGAGAATGCTGGACATCCTGGAGGATTACTGCCACTGGCGCAACTACAACTACTGTCGCCTGGACGGCCAAACGCCACACGAAGACCGTAACCGGCAGATCCAGGAGTTCAATATGGACAACAGCGCCAAGTTCCTCTTCATGTTGTCCACTCGAGCAGGCGGTTTGGGTATCAACTTAGCCACCGCTGATGTGGTCATCATCTACGACTCGGACTGGAATCCCCAGATGGATTTGCAGGCTATGGATCGTGCTCATCGCATTGGTCAAAAGAAGCAAGTACGAGTTTTCCGCCTGATCACCGAAAGCACCGTGGAGGAGAAGATCGTGGAGAGGGCCGAGGTGAAGCTGCGCCTCGACAAGATGGTCATTCAGGGTGGTCGATTGGTCGACAACCGCTCTCAGTTGAACAAGGATGAAATGCTTAACATTATCCGTTTCGGAGCTAACCAAGTTTTCAGTTCGAAGGAGACCGACATTACAGACGAGGACATAGACGTCATCCTGGAGCGTGGCGAGGCCAAGACGGCCGAACAGAACGCAACGCTGGACAGTCTGGGCGAGAGTTCGCTGCGCACCTTCACAATGGACACAAACGGCGAGGCAGGCACTTCCTCCGTCTACCAATTCGAGGGCGAGGATTGGCGCGAGAAGCAGAAACTCAACGCCCTGGGTAACTGGATTGAACCGCCGAAGCGTGAGCGCAAGGCCAACTATGCCGTAGATGCCTATTTCCGAGAGGCGCTTCGCGTTTCGGAGCCCAAGGCGCCGAAGGCTCCCCGCCCACCCAAGCAGCCCATCGTCCAGGACTTCCAGTTCTTCCCGCCCCGTCTTTTTGAGCTGCTCGACCAGGAGATCTACTACTTCCGCAAGACCGTCGGCTACAAGGTGCCCAAGAACACGGAGTTGGGATCGGAGGCAACCAAGGTGCAGCGGGAGGAGCAACGCAAGATCGATGAAGCGGAGCCGCTCACCGAGGAAGAGATCCAGGAGAAGGAGAACCTGCTCTCGCAAGGCTTCACTGCCTGGACCAAGCGCGACTTCAATCAGTTTATCAAGGCCAACGAGAAGTACGGTCGGGATGACATCGACAACATTGCAAAGGACGTGGAGGGCAAAACACCGGAGGAGGTTATCGAGTACAATGCTGTGTTCTGGGAGCGTTGCACTGAGTTGCAGGACATTGAGCGAATTATGGGACAGATTGAGCGTGGAGAGGGCAAGATTCAACGGCGACTTTCAATTAAGAAGGCTTTGGATCAAAAGGTTGGTTTTTATTTAATTACCATAATATCAATTCCTTTATTTATTGGCTATTCTTCCCCTTAAAGATGTCGCGTTATCGCGCTCCCTTCCATCAGCTGCGTTTACAATATGGCAATAACAAGGGCAAGAATTACACAGAAATCGAAGATCGTTTCCTAGTTTGCATGCTGCACAAGTTGGGCTTTGACAAGGAGAATGTCTACGAGGAGCTGAGAGCGGCCATAAGGTAAGGACAAATCTTGATTAACAGAAAGAACTATCCCATTTATACTTTCAATGCTCCCACAGAGCTTCTCCCCAGTTCCGTTTCGACTGGTTCATCAAGTCTCGAACAGCGCTGGAGCTGCAGCGTCGTTGCAACACATTGATCACTCTCATCGAGCGTGAGAACATCGAACTGGAGGAGAAGGAGCGCGCCGAGAAGAAGAAAAAGGCACCCAAGGGCAGCGGATCCGCGGGCAGTGGAAGTGCCAGCTCCAATACTCCAGCGCCCGCACCGCAACCGAAGGCCAATCAAAAGCGGAAGAGCGAGGTGGTGGCCACCAGTTCCAACTCGAAAAAGAAGAAGAAGTAGAGGGATACCCATTGACATGAGATTCGGCTCCGCACTCAGCATTAGGCAGTTACATAGTTAAGACAAGCGATTACTTAAACATATTTCACTCGACATAGATACCTAGTTAATAGTTCACATCGGAAGCGATTGGCCCCCATCAGCCCTCAGAATATCTTTCCAACACACACACACACCCCCGCCTACACATCCACTTATCTTATTATTATTATATTGCGTGCCGCTGTATTCTATTCCAAGTAATTGTACTTTGTTCTAAGTTTTTAATCATTATATTAATATATTGCAACTCAATCCATGATGATTTTACAACCGTTTGCAAAGATGGATCCCCGAAAGAAAACAATGGCAAGCTGTATTTTCGTACTGTTTCTCTTTATCGTTTGGAATGCTGAGCAACTTAACATAATAACATTTATAAATTCTATGAATTGCAGCTTAGTTTGTGTAACAGGGCACTTAAACTTAATATCATCTTGTTCATGCAGTCAACGGCATCGGCAATTGGGCATCCGAGCCGCCTGACCATGTTCAACATGGCCGTAAGTTGGGTCAGATCTGGATGTGGATGTGAATGTGGGCTTTGCCTGCTCTTCGAACTCATACTTCCTTTGGGGGAGGAAGCTACC